TGATGGGACCCGAGTGTTTGAAAATATGCCTCAGAGGGATATAGTGTCATGGAATTCGATAATATCTGCATACATACACGAGGGATTTCATTGGGAAGCTATGGTAAAAGTACGAGAATTGGTCCAAACTGGGTTAAGACCGGACTCGGTGACAATTGCTTGTGCTCTTTCAATATGTGATATGGACGTAACAATCAAAGAAATACATGACTATATTTTGAGAAATGGACATGAACATATTGCCGGTCTGTAATTCCCTTATTAACATGTATGACAAGTGTGGTAGAATTGGAGAAGCTTATAAGGTTTTTGTTAAAGTGAGCGTACCTGATAAAATTTCTTGGAATACTGTGATTTCTATCTATGCTCAAAATGGTTCTCTTGAGGATAGTTTCGAGCTTCTTAAGGAAATGAAGTTTGCAGGATTTGAAGTAGATGAGATTACTTATAGTGGGATCATTTCATCTCTTGCTTAGAATGATCAACCCAAAGAGGCCATGAAAATTTTCATTGAGATGCTAGATTCAGGACTGAGACTAGATGTGGCTACTGTAGCAAGTATACTTCCAGCAATTTTTGACTTGAAGGACTTTGGCAACTGTAGAGAAATTCTTGGTTACTCGTATAGAAATGGACTGGAACCTGATAAAAGAGTTAAAAATGCTCTAATATCTGTTTACACCAAACTTAATTTAATCCAGAATGCATTTCAAATCTTTGGAAACATGAAGAACCGAGACGTGATCTCTTGGAGCTCAATGACTGTGGGCTTTGTACAGAATGACCTCTTTAATGAAGCCCTTGATACATTCAGAAATATGATTAGAGACCAAGCCCAACCTAACCCAATTTCCATTACTAGTATTTTGTCAGCTTGTGCAGGTTTGTCTCTTATACGTGGAAAGAAATCCATTTATGGGCCTAAAAAATGGGTTTGGGGGTCATACATTTCTAGGTAGTGCTTTGATTGACATGTATGCCAAATGTGGAAGGGTCAAAGACTCATGAAGTGTGTTTGATCTGAGGATAGAGAAGAATTTGGTGTCCTGGAACTCGATGATTGGAGGATATGCAGTGCATGGCCTTGGGCAGGAGGCCCTCAAAATCTTCTAGATGGTGGAAAACCCTGACCATATTAGTTTCATGGTAGCTTTATCAGCATATAATCTTGGAGGATTAGTTGAACAAGGCATTGAGATTTTTAATAGCATGAAAGACTTTGGACTAAGCCCCAAAGAAGGACATTATGCATGTATGGTGGACATATTGGGTCGATCAGGATGGTTAGATGAAACTCTCAGTGGAAGCCAATCCAGATATTTGGGGAATATTGCTTGGGGCATGTAAAGTACACTCAAATTTGGACATTGCAATTTATACAGGAGCTCAGATAATTGAATCAGGCTGTGTGAATTTAGGATACTACGTCCTACTATCGAATATATTGGCAGATTATGGGAGGTGGGAAGTGGAGGCAATGAGGAAGCTGATGACTGAGAGGAGAGTGAGGAAAGTAGCTGGTTGTAGTTGGATTGAAGTTAACAAGAGTGTGCATTCCTTTGTAGTCAGGGAAAGAGCACATCCTGAATGGGGTAGCATATTCGATATGTTAAGAAGATTGAATGAATAGATGAAGGAGATGAGATGAAGTATTAGATGGAAAATCGCTTATATTTTATTTCAATCAAACAACCATAGATTCAGAAGAACTGCAAAAGACAAGTTTTAAATGACAAAAAAGATGCTTTTGTATAAAGAGAACTTGTTGGGACATTACCATACATGGTACCACCTAAGAAATCTTTCATGTGAAAATTGATAAGGAGATAATGATCCATGGGGCTTTCCATTTCCTAAAAGACAAGAAAAGCAAGGATCTATATATGACAGTAAAGCTCAACATGCATAAGGTGTAGAATCTTTCAAAAGATTTCCATAAAGGAAATTCTAGATGAGTTTGGCGCTTGTTCAAGATGGATAGGCACAGAAAGTGCACCATCATCATTTCTTTTTCTCATACTAAATAGATGTGGAGGTAACCCTTTGACCTTATCATCAAATTTGTCAAGATGGCCCCTTCACCCTTTAGCTTAATCTGCAGCTTGGCCTTACCTAACTCTCTCAAGCAATTGCGGAACCAAGGACTCCCATATTAAACAGGATCCATTGATGTTCATTTGATCTTCTCATGGAATTGTCAAGGTGACCCCTCTCCTCCTGTATCTTAACTTGCAACGTGGCCTTATATATCTCCCTCAAGCAACTATCGAATCAAGGATTGAAGGTGTAAAGCTTGCTAGAAGTGCTTCATCTCATTTTGTGCTCACTATTTGCTTATGTTATCTGAAATTAAGAGGATTTCTTCTGTGATCTGAGAGAACCAGACAAGTCATATGCCTCAGAAGAACAATTTATTCTTTAGCCAGAATACTTCTCTCGCATTCAGATGAATGATACAAAGATTCTGCAGATTTCTATGAGCGAAGGAAACCTCACATTCCTACTAAAGTTGTCTGGAGCAAGAAGCAACTATTTATTGGACCAAGATAGCTCCAAAGAAAATGATGCTGATAATACTCTATGCTTTCTCAATGAGGTTGAGAAGTGAATAAATCAAAGATTACATGTATCCCGGGTATACCCTATAAGCAGGGCAAAGCATCTTTTTTTTTAATGGTCAAAAGTATTCCAACAATTGGAGCAACCAATGCATAATGAAGTTTTGGGCTGCACTTTTCCATCATCTCTATATTTTCAACCTAGCCCTTCTGGTCAAAACAGGCTGGAAACTTTTAAGTTCTCTTTGGTTAGAGTTTTAAAGGAATATAATTTCCGTGATAGAGGCACTAATGAGCATGGAAAGTTTCTTGGCCATAAGAGATCCATGGGTCCCATTCCTGCAAAACTTCAGATTGCAATCCACTGATCTCAATTACTATGAAATTGAAGTTGCAAACTTGATGAAATCAGACCCAAAGTGCTTAGATGGGATGCTTCTGAACAGGCTTGTCAGCAAAGTTGTGGGTAAGATCATGCTTCTAAGATTATTTGACAATGAATGCAAGCTCACCTTTGCCTACTTGTAATTAGACAGCTATTGTTACTCGAACCATAAAAGAGAACATTTGAGAAGGTGGCCTTGTATTGAAGAACTTCGCCTTAGCAGATATAGAAACGGGTTTTGAAGTTCGAAATGTCCCCAAAGATTCAAACTTAATGTAACGAGTTTGTTAGTTTGGGTGGAGGCGTGGAGCTACATTTCAAAAAAAAAGAGATGTTTCAGACCATTGTTGAATATCTTAAGTCAGTAACAGAAAAATAGCACCGAAGATGTAACATGGTTTGGCCATTCGTGACTAACTACATCTGCGGATGAACCACTCAATAAAAAATTAGAGCTTTAACAAACTAGTTTTTATCTCTCAATTAGGTTTCTCTATGTTTTCCTTAATTAGTACAACTATTTATAAAACCCTATACTAATGATATTGAAGCCAAATTCAGCATTAGACTAGACCCCATCTTTGACTGTAGCAGGTCCCTTGGAAGTTGGAATCCAAGACACCCATTCATCAAATTGCATCACAAGCCTGATACCAAGAATTTCCCTACAATCAAAGGAAATCCCCCGAACCCCCTTGAAGTCATAAGAAAAGCCAACTTGTATGTTCCAGATATAGAAGCTCAAAATGGTTCCAGTCTTGAATCCAATCTGAACAAAACGAAATACCCACCCACAATCTACCCCTCACATCTCACTCCATTGCAATAGTTGATGGATCCTAGAATCCAACAACGAATTCAGCCTCCACAGGTTTATATATAGTCTCTTACACAATGTTTGCTTTGCAGAAGGACAATTGTGCAATGCCATTAACTCATCAGAGGCCTGAGAAGACTTATCTTGCTAGGTATCAACCATGCCATCATTTTTGTCAGATGTGAAGGAGATCCTGTAGAAACTCAAGGAAACTAGAGTAAACACAAGGTGGAATGAACAGTCGCTAATCGAGCATATCAAATTCCTTCCCCTCCCCCCGAGACACAGCGCATACCTCAACATGAGGGGTGAATGTAAACAGGAACAATGTAGGCCTAGCCCACGATATAGCTAAAAGGGCCAATGTAAATAGATTTTATATTCTAACCCCTAGACCTCTCCCCCCGAGACACAACGCATACCTCCAAGGTTCAAAGTATCGTTACATATCGACCCGTATCGGCTGATACGTATCATTCCGAGACCCTTCCGATACGCCCCTATAGTGGGAGTATCGGGGGTCTGATCGGTTCAGGGGATGGAGGGGTCCTACACCGGCTCCCCTGAACCAGTTATGAAAAAAAAAAGTAAAAATAAAACTAGTATCAAAATGCCCCATGCACTCCTACCGGCGTATCGATATTTTGAACCTTGCATACCTCAACATGAGGGGTCTTCTTTTGTACCCTTAGCTTCTTTCTATGCAATGGATCTCTTTTCTTACAAAAACAAAATAATAAAAAAGAATTTCCCTGAAGTCCATCCAATGCTGGATGATTCGAGGAAGATCTTATGACTCGTCTATTTTAGTGAAGTTTAGCCCCATCAGAAAGATTGCTTATAGGCACGTCAATGGTGGATATCCAGAAGGCTAGGACAGCAGGCCTAATTCTTAATAGCAAGTTAGCAACCTCACCGGAATTTTTTAACATTCAAATTCAATTGATCGGCATTGAGATTCCTCCATATTGACCGACTCTGGTGGTATTTACTATGGAGTATGGACTACAATATGTAGATGAATGGTCTCTCATTCAGGGTAAATCCTGCACCTTCTCTTCAGAGGCTGTGGGTGTGTGGGGTACAAAGATATCCGAAGTTGCAGAGGTCGCAATCGTATAAACCCCCCCCTTTATGAGACTACAAACATGTCACCAGCGGAAAGGCCGGCCGATTACTCTAACAGATGAGATAAAGGTTGAATCTTTAACCAAAAATTATTTCATTCTTTACTCACTTCTGGCAGAAAATTGCAATAACTGCTCATGTTAAGCTTAACAAAGTTTTTATTTTATTCCCTATCCTCAGTAGAAAAATAAAGGAAAAAAAAAGCAACTCATGACATCAATTTATGCCTCGGCCTCAATGTTATACAACACCTATCCCTTGATGTGACATCAACGATTTTAGTCAGAACTCAAATCTATTTTGTGACTTCATGGATGGCATTTGCCAAGTATGCAACATTTCCAGTAGTAACACCTGCCATACTGTAAAAGATGAAAGAAGAAATGTAATCAGAATGAACGTCTTCAGAATGCCAGCGCAACAAGAGAATACATTTATAGAAGACTCCTAAGATTAGAATTACCTGATACGACCATTACGAGTCATGTAGATGTGGAACTCATTTGTCAAGCGATCCACCTGCTCAGGTGTCAAGCCACCATAGCAGAACATACCAATCTGTTTGCAAGCAGAGCAAAATCTTAAGTATCAACAGGCCTTCCATGTCTAAAGTAATCAAGGAGGAATGATTATTAGAAAGGAGTGATAAAATGAAAGACCTAGGAAAAACATCCAAGTACCTGATTAGTTATATGCTCCCATGATAAGGATGAACCTAGCTTTTCAAGGTTTTCTCTTAGAGCATATCTCATCCCTATGATGCGATCAGCCATGCCCTGAACACAAAGTGTCGGAGAACAACTAGACAATTATGAACATTGATTTGTTTGAGAAAAAAAGATCAGCGCAAGTCTAACAAATGATAAATGGGTTTTCGAGAATTGTGCAGTAAAAAATGGGAATTGAACCAAGTGGTAATTGCCTAATTGGAGGCAGTTGGGTTACCTTCACTTCCTTGAGCCATAAATTCTTCAGTTCTGGATCACCAAGTACCGTAGTAACAATAAGAGCACCATGAACTGGCGGGTTGCTGTACATGGGTCTGGCAAGTTGTTGCAACTGACTCTTCACAGCCACTGATTGCTTTTCATCTTCACAGACAATGCTGTTTATATGAAAAAGGTGAAAAAAGAGCACCATAAACCCTCTTTGCCTTGCAAAGTAAATGTTCAGAAGCAAGATAATAAAGAAAAAGGTGAAAAAAGTGTATATGCCTAAAATTTCAGCATTCACCAACAAAAAAAACAGCTTAGTAAAGGAAAAGAATGGTAATTGTAACGAAGGATTACTAGACCAGCTGTCAGGACGTCAGACACAAAACACATGATACAAAGGAGTTGCCAACTTGCAACTTTGTTTCTTTTTCCAGTTGGTTCTTTTTTTATTGGTAGATTTTTTTCCTGTTTGTTCAAGTTGCTAATATTCAATTATTCATAAGAAATTAAACCATGAAAATGGCTTCAATTAGTGAAATAAATCATGTGTGATTTTGAAAGTGGCTAATAATCAAGAAACCAAAGAAAGACCCTAGCCCATGACTGAGATAACACTGAACCATCAGTTGCATTTCTTTTACTAGGTATCAGTTGCTAAAAATCCAAACACAAGTTGCCAGGTGAAGGTAGATTCATGATATAAGTAGCACCTTAGGGCTACTTATAAGAATGCAATAAGTAGCACTAGCACCAAAGGGCTGCTTATCAGTTGCTAAAAAATCCAAACACAAGTTGCCAGGTGAAGGTAGATTCATGATATAAGAAATAAAAATGCACTAAATAGCACCTTAGGGCTAGATTCATGATATAAGTATCGGTATCGGGTATCCTATCGGACTGCTTGAATATGGATATGCTTCGGAAACGCATGGATACAGACAAAAGTTATGAAACGCTAAGATGCATAAATATCATACAATTTTGTTGATAATCCTTCAATCAAGAACCCAAGACATTCATCAAAAAAAAAAGAACCCAAGACTCATTATATAATATATAGATTTTTACAAATTAATACATGCACAAAGCCATTATTATATTATATTCTATTTAAGTCCAAGACACAAATATACACAATTATTATATTTTAATTACCATATCAATTATTTGCTGTTTTACTATTTTTACTTCTCAACATTAACAAAAAAGTCAACTAAATATTAAATTTTCAAATGCTTGGTAAACAATATTTTTATTTTTGTAAACAATAAATATGTTATTATAAAATGTAAATTAAAATCAGTTAATAATTTAAAATATATATATATATATAATCTCAACTTAAAATGTATCAAATCTATTAAAATTCATAAGATACATATCATATGCAAATTCAATTTTTAATTACAAAAACAATTATTCCATGACACAAAGGATTACTCGTGTGATTGAAGTGGAGAAATTTTGTGCCTGAGGTGCAAGGCACATGCCTTTTTTAAGCAAGGCGCAAAATTAAAAAAAATGCAAAAACTGTAAAAAACATTCAAAATAAATTAAGAAAATATTAAAAATAGTAAATAATTAAAAAAATTCAAACTCTAACTTTTAAACGAAATGTCCTAAAAAGCCCTATTAGCTAAAATTAAAATAAATAAACATAAAAAATGCAAAAAAAAAACAAAAAATAGCATACAAAACATATTCAAGCATGTCAAGCTTTTAATTTCTTTATTTCTATCTCAATTGCATTATTTCAAATAGCTAATGTGATGTTAAACATCTTTCATTTCTAATTCTATCAGCCACCTTTGTACCAAGCCCCTTGAGGCAAGCCCAAACAAGTCCATTTTAGGGTCTTAAATTCTTAATCCCTACAACTACAAGCCCCTTGAGGCACGCCTGAACTGAGGTGCAAAGCACACCAGGTGCATGCCTTTTCAAAGGGAATGCACCTAGGCCTAGGGAAGGTGCATATCTTAAAATGTGCCTCGCCTATGCACCTAGGCACACCTTTTAAATCACTGCATGATTGCTACCCGATCCAAGGGATGCTTGTATTAATTGTGCATATTTTTATATTTAATAAAATTTTATAAGTTACTTATTAAAAATATCACCAATAAATCATTTTTCCCAAAGGGAATTACACAAAAATCTCACAAGAAATATCCCCTTAATCCCCATCAAAAATAAGAAGGTAAAGGATTAATGAAAATGCAAAAGAAAACTGATACAGATAACTTGGTGAAGATGATAGTAAACTCCACATTAAGACCATTTAAAGCAAATCCCTATCAAACAGCAAAAGGAAGGTTCTTCAAAGTGAAAACATTTGAATCTATTACAGGATCCCCATGAATTTGCTGAAATGTGATAATCTTCATTTCATTTTCAGACCCCATTCCCTGAATGTGAAAATGCAAGTTAATTGAATACCACCCTCCAGAAAGGTTCAAAATTTTGATATGATACACCCAGTGTTGGGCATATCGTATCGTATCGTCAGGTCCCCGATATGCCAAATAAGGGGGGCTTTTGGGGTTTAGCCCATTTTCAGGGGGGTAGGCCTGCCTAAGACCAACCCCCTGACCAATTAAGAAAAAACTAAAACAAAAAAAATATGTGGGTTTGGAACACCCAATATGCATGTTCATGTGTATTGGATGTAGTGATACTTTGAACCTTGCCCTCTAGGGACACAACCACATAAATACCAAATTGTAAAAGATCCATGAAGCCTGGCAAAGATCCAAGTAAGATGGTTGGATGAAACCCATTTCTATCAATAGAAAGAAGTGAGCTCCTATGCAAAGAGATACAACTATCTTATAAACTTCCACTCATGGTTGCAAAACCAGGTTATGACTCAGGCGAGTTGCTGAGTTGAGTAAAATTTCAACCATAACCTGGGTAAAAGTCATGGAGACTAATTTAGACCTCAAAATGACCAGACTCAGGATGAGATGTTCTGGGTTTTATTGAATCATCTATTTGAGGCAATCTAACAAAAATCAGCCAAGAGTTAAGGCATTTGCATCATTAATGAAGATTTGATCAAAGCCATCTAATCTAACTAAACCTAAAATATTGAAATTCTCTTTTGCATGAGAAACAAATACTATTCTCTCATCACTTCTGACTGGCCATTGCCGCTACCACTGGCCATTGGTAGACGCTGATTTTTATGTTGTCATTTTGACATTGTCAATCTGATACAAATCCCTATTTAAATATGTAAATTGGCATAGGGTATTCTGTATTTTTGGGATGGATTAAAATCTTTTTCTTTTAAAGATCTATCATACAGTCTCCATTTTGTATTTTTATTAATAGTGCTCAGTATTGATTTGCCACTTTTGTTTTTGTTTATTTACTTTTTTTTTGTGTTCTTGTTCCATTGTAAGAATTTGTAGTTTTATACTCTGCCTTCTTCTTTTTTTTTCCCTTTTTTCCTGTTTTGGTTTGTAACCTTTGATCAAACCCTCTTTGGTCTTTGTTTGGGTAATTGATCTTTTTTTTATGAATAATGAAGACATTTTTCATTACATGGTACAATGAGAAGACCTTTGTTTGGGTAATCAATCATTTTGTAATACCCCCTTTTATTAAACCCTCATTTTTCTTAGGGATCATTACATGGTACAATGACAAAGGCTGAGAAGTGAGAACAGCCTTTTTCATGCTAAAAATGCTGGAGTCCACCCCTGTATTTCCAAGACAAGAATTGGTTAATGACCTTTTTTATTTATTGAATAAATAATTTCCTAACTTTCCTTGACTTGAAATTGAATTTCTTAAGCCATAATACTTTTTTGTTGGAAATTTTGATTCAATATTCCTGGTTTTCCAACCTTGGTTATCTATGCTGGATTTTCATCCCACCCATTCAAGGACTATTTTCCAACAAAAAAAAGAGAAAAATAAGTACCAGTGCCCTTAATATCCAAGAAAAGATGGTGATCACTCTTTGGCTAAAACCTTGTATTAAATTTGATCTGCTTCAGTTCTATCTGTAAAATGATAAACTAAACACAAGATCTCTAGAATACCACTATAATGTTATGTCCAATTAATACCCACCATAATATTAGAAAATTCAAGAACAATATAGCTTCATGCGAAGATAATTTGACTAAACCATGATTATGCAACTTAAACAGTGGGCAAATGTTTATAAATAGAAAGTAATATTGACAATAACCAACAAAAAAATGAATGACTATAGGAGTTGTGTAAATGTGTTATGCTGTCCAGTGGTGGTAGCAGTAGCTATACAGTATACTACATTTAGTCAAGGGATTAATATTTAAATAGTGTCCAAACTAGTTAAGGCAGAAACAGAATCATGTACATGGAAATAGCAATATTTTCAATACATACCTGAGACATCCTACTCTCTGGCCATAAAGTCCCATATTTTTGGCAAATGATTGGGCACATCCAATGGCATGCCCATCCTCAAGAAAGATTCTGATAGCCTTTGCATCTCTCTCAGGATCACCACTGGCAAAACCTTGATACGCCATGTCAAAGAAGGGGAAATGACCTTTTATCTGTTAATAATACCAAAGCATAAAATGTCAAATAAAAGTTCTGCTTCTTCATTTAATATGGTGCAGAGTAGAAATATGGGAGAGGCACATCCAATGAAGCAACGAACCTTGAACTGATATGAAATCTCTCTCCATTGTTCTTCTGATGGATCCACTCCAGTAGGATTATGAGCACATGCATGAAGCAAGAAAAACGAACCATTTGGGGCATTCTATGCATAAAAAGCAAGACAAAAGTAGATGAGATTAAAAAAAATGGCAATGTGAGAAAAGAATGGTAAACCAGAACAGAGAAAAATAACCAAGAATTTCCTGCAATTTATATACCTTCACATCATCCATCAATGATGCAAAGTCTAAGCCTCTTGATTCAGGATGGTAGTAATGGAATGTCCTCTGAGGGACATGGGCATCTCTCCAGATGTTGTGATGGCTACAACAGAATCTTCGTATTAGAATCCTAAACTAATCAACCATGTGCAAGAAGTGTAAAAAAAAAATGATAAGTGCAGTATATCAAGCTTTTGTGACAGTACATGGTTAATTCAAAATTTCATGCTTTGTTACGTTTACCATTTCTGCATAACCTTCTTGCATAAAATTAAAGGAGATCAAAATGACATGATCACTCACTTAGCCCATGTCGGCACAGGTATATAGATTTGGGAATCTGGCCTGAAACGTTTCTGGAAGTCTGCAAAGAGTCGGCAAGCACCAGTTCCCGAAAGAGCTTGCACTGCTGCAATTCGTTTCTCTTTGATTAAATCAGAATTCTCTCCATAGGCTAACTTTAATGATTCTTCCACCATTTTTACACTTCCTCCCATGGGGAGATATTCCCTGATGTTAACATTGCCATAAAATTTTCAGCAGTTTTAAATTGAAGTGTAAAATAATAACTCAAATTAGCATTTACAATTCTACAGGTGTTAGCATTATCTATTTAACCAAGAAAAAGAACCATAATAAACAATCTCTTTCTTTTCTTATGGATTAACAATGTGAAAAGTCTATTAAATTTAAGGAAAACATGAAGAAACATGGATGAAGGCCTAGAAACAAGTCAACAACAAGTCAATAAGCATGCAGCACAGAAAAAGACCTAGAAGCAACTACATCCTTTTTTTCTTGGTGAATTTTCCTTCAAAAGAAAAGCATGTAGCACAAAAAAAGGAGGATCAACTAGGGTGTATAGGGGTCGAGGAGAACATGATATTCACCTTAGTAGACAAAAATAGACCTGCCTAAGATCTTCTCCACTCAACAGACAACACCAATGCAAGAATCTCCTTAAACTCTTCTTTGCATAATTATGGTAAAGTTTATTGTATAATTAATTTGAATAAATGGGCTAGATACCACATAAATGGACTTTACATGGTTAATGAGTTAAAAACATGAACCAAGATATATACTGTATGCATCCATATTCATCTATGAATAAAAAATTGGGTAAAAAATAATCTGCTGATGATTACCTACAAAAACACCTATATTCAAAGTTGTATACGTCCTTGAGAATGGATAATTGGATTCCTGGTTTTGTTCCTTCCAAAGACCACCATATTGAGAAAGGAGTCAGATTCCACAAGATGCATCCACTATGACTGAAACCTCTAATCAGCATGGTCATCCTTAATTGTTTAAGGACAAAGAAAGCTTTAGGTTCTTGGCTCTAATAAGATCTGCATCCGCAATAGATAATGGACATATTACTGCCTTCAAATTCTCCACTAATATCAGATGGGTCGGAATTTTCCAGGAAATTTCCATAAAAAATAAGCTTGTAGAACCACTTACTAGGTGAATCCACATGAATAATGAGCCAAATGCTGCACCTGATGAGAATTCTGCCAATACAAGATGGATCAGGATGCCCATATCACTAACATCGCATTAATTTCATTAGGACTTCAACCTCCACCCAAGATTGTCCATGCTGGGCTTTTCTTAGTTCTTACATTGCCTGTCCTAAGACCTGACCTTATGAAGGGGGAAATTTGTGTCAGGTTGGCAGCTGGAATGGAGCTTTTGCAACCTTTGCAAAAATGAATTTCGAGTTGTTTTGGTTATAGGAATAACAAAATAAAATGCTATAGCTGACGCCCAATTGTATAAGATTTAGTTGAGAATCCATTGCTGGTGGGATAAATCAACTTAAGACAACAAAACATCATGAAGAGAGGAAAAGAGGTATTATTTTCTTAAGACCTACATCTGCTATCCTTCTTTTTCCATATCCCCAACTTTGATCAAACTTAGCCAATAAACCATCGCATCAGCATTACTTTTAGATGTTTAACCCAACCCAATACAATGATAGGCGTCATATTAAATCTTTTCCTACCTAAATTTTGTCGTCAGTTAAATTTCGATACGGCTCTTACAATTTACCCATACCTAAGCTGCAATTTGAGGGAACGACAAAGCATGCAATTTCAAATTAGTATCCAAGAAACGACTCACGACTGGATGCATATCACCACTCAAAGTACTAAAATAGTTGCAAAATCGTAAAGCAATCAGAATCTACTTTTTTGTATCACAAAGTGTATATTTATCAACAACATCGTAGTATAAGAATCAAAGCAGTGGAAATGGAAGAAAAAGTAGATAGGACCACGGCACTAGCGGCAAGTGGGAAGCACACTTATACACAAAAAGTTGCATAACTTGATATCCACTGCTGCTCAATAACTAAGCATCAAATATTATCTAAACCAGCTACAAAAGACAGTAATCTACTTGAAAGAAACCAATAACAACAACCACTCACATGTTCATCTTTCCGGCAATCCTCCTCTCTGCTTCTCTGACGCATTCAAGAACAACCGGCTTCCCATTGTCATCACGATAAGCTCCCTAAATCATCAAAACCCACATGAAAAAAAAAAAAAAAAAACAAATCATAAACAGAAGCACAAACTAAAATAATAAAAACAGGGACAACATCAGAAATAAGCAAATATTTTTTTTAAAGAAGATATGGAATATAACTGGAAGAAACTTACAACTCCAACGTTCACTTTGTCGGGGCTCGGATCAGCGAGAAAGGCTTCGGTTACGCCGAGAATCGGATCCTTGGGGGCAGGTTCAACACTTGTCCACCAGGAGGACATAGATCGGGCTCCGGTTATGGAGTTTCTCCTGAGAAGTCCTCTGCAAATAGCGGTCCTCGACGCCATGATCGTTGATCAGTTCAATCTCTGCGAAGAAAGCTTGCGAGAAGACGATGGTATATTAATCAATCGGCGCGAGCAGAAACAGAAACAGATGTGGAAAATTGTGTGCGGAAACGTGAATTGCTGCAACCACCTTGAAAAGTGTGACAAGCTCACTAACAGCGAAAGTAATTAAAAGCCAACTCCGCTTTTGGTTTTATTTTTGGGTAAATGACAAAGACCCCCTATACTATGGGGTCAGTGACAGGGACCGCCCTACACTTTTTTTTACGACAAATACAACCCCGAATTTTAGCCATAAGACAAATAACCCCTCAGCCGTTAAGTCAGATAATGGAAACGGTTAAATTACCAAAATACCCTGCTAAACTTGTTCTATTTTCTTTTTTGCCATTTTCTCTTAAAACCTAACCCAGAAATACCCCCATTACTTCTCAACAAAAAATACTTCTACAATCTCGACAATTGCCGGAATGGAACTCCGATGTTGCTCAAATAAACATATCAAGTTTCCTGTATGGATGAATGTACTACAGAGAACCTTCAATGGGGTAGAACTTGAAGACCGGTTTAAATAATTTCCTGACATCTTGGAAGAGCCCAGACGACCCTTCAATGGGGGGTTCAAGCCCAAGAACCAGAAGGCTTGGGATTTGCGACAACAATTCTTCGTCCATCTGTGTGTGAAGGGATTCAAGCACAAGAACCAATAGGCTTGGGATTTCAGAGATGGGTCCGATGGCTGTGTTGTGGAAGCCAAGTTCGAGTAAGAAATTGTGTTACTCTGTTTGATAGGAAATTTAATTTGAAAGGATTGAGCTGATATGGATACATGTATCTCAGCAACTTTTAGATTGCTAAGGCTCTATAGTTGCAAATGGAAGTGCAGAAAAAGCTTCTTGAACAGATTGAGGTAGGCTTTTCATCAACCCAGTTTTATTTTAAAGCCAGTTATTTTTGGCAAAGAATAACGGATACACACCAGCAACTAGTTTTCTCCTCTAGGTGCAAAGACACTTGCAGCTACGATTGAAGCTCAAGGGAAATACCTACAGTCAGTTCTAGAGAAAGCACAAGAAACATTGGCCGCATATAATTCTTCATGTATGGGACTTGAAGTTGCAAAAGCTGAACTCTCTCATCTGGTCTCCATGGTAGAGAGACAACGTTCAAGTTCTTCCTTCTCAGGACTAACTAAAGGAGGAAGTTTTAGCTTACAAGAGATAGAGAAGCAACCAATGATTCTAAGAGCTGTGAATGAAAAGAGGAAAAACCACAGAAGCTGGAGGATGGATACCTCGATGAATGTAAAAGACATTCAAACGTTCATCCATTTATGGAGATCAGTCCAAACAGGGGCAACTCAAATGATCAAATTGGTGGACGGAAGCGAAGTGGGAGCACCATCTCTGATGGCAATTCTGTTGATTAGCAATCAGTTAAGAGATCACCAACCCATAAGAAGGATTGTGATAATTGGTTTAGAAAGTCAGGATCAAGGGATGAACTTGACCTTAACAATTAGTATCAGAGTGAAATTGAACCGGGCTTCGAAGAACTAGACTTGAACAGTAGGGGAGCGGAATCAGGCTACGAGTCTTCCAAGAATTTTGGCTCCTGAAATGTTGTTTCAAGATGCGTATCCTGTGATGGGTTTAAAAATTGAATTCTAAATATCATATAGAACAGCCAAGCTGTTTTCTTGTATAGCTTATGTGAATACCAACATCACTGGAGGCGGAAAGCGGTTGTGTGTTTTGGGTGAGTGATCTTATCGATCTTCGGGAATACATCATGAACGACAGACAAGATCTCTACGTGAGGGTGGCAGCTCCAGATGCTTCAGCACAGTGGAGAAGAAAGTGGGGACTTCGTCTGTTAGCTAAGAGTAAATAATAATATAGGTAAAATTGACCAAAAAATTATCATAAGGGCAACTTAACCGTGAAAATGAAATCTTTTTTGAATATATCTGACGGAATACTGACAGAAGGGGGGTTTTGTCACTGACCCTATAGCACAGGTGTTTTTGTAATTTAGTCTTTATTTTTCATATTTATTGAAATGCCCCGGTTCTTTTTTTACATTTTTTTATTTTTTTTAGGTTTAAGCGTCAAAACGATTCGTTGTTGAGATTTTCTGTCCGAGCCCCGGCAGAGGGCTTCCGACTCCCGATCTTTCGGTTCGGCATGTATTCCGCAGAACAAGAGTTAAAAGAGGAGAGAGATCTTTTGTTAGTGTACTCACTAAAATACCCTTATTCTTGATGAATATTTACCAAAATACCTTGAGTAGCCTATATAGACGTCACGTATCACCTCATTGACTTTGGATGGAAGTGGAATTTTAAGTGCGAGTAATATTTACTTTGTTTATTTTTACACGATTACAAAAAAACGTTAGAGGTAGGGCTGTTAACGGATCGGGTCTGGGTAGAGTCCATGTCGAATAAAAACTGACCTGATAAAGAAACACCAAGACCCACGACCAAATCGGACCCCGATAGGGTCCATAATTTTAGACCTAGAATCGAACTGATAAATTCTAGGGACAATCGGTGTCTGATTCGATGAACCCGATTATAATAAAATTATAAATATATTGAAACTATTATATATAATATTAATTTATTTAATATATTATCTCGGGTCGGGTTTGAATTGATTAGGTAATGGGTGGAATCGGTTTCAAACCAATAAAATTTGGGACAATATATCAGGAACTGGAATCAAAATATTGACCATTGGGTTTGTCCCGTCCAACCCAACCCATTGACATCCCTGGTTAGAGGTGCAACATGGACGTGACCGACCTGAATTTGGATCAGTCCAACCCAAAATTTTAAATGAGTTGGATTTGGATTTTCGGCCCTTAAGCTAGGCTTGGGCCCAAGTCTTTAGACTTCTTTATTTTTTTTTTGTCTGGACTTTGATTTAGCCCTTGGACAGCCTGAATCCAACCCAATTTTAGGCCAATCTAAGTTTGGCCTGACTATACACATTTATACATACATTTTAGATTAATTGACCAACCTAATCCAGCCCATATTTGAATTGATCCAATCCAAATGCATCAAATCACAGTGTGGACTAGACTCGAATTGGGCTTAAATTGATCACAAAACTGGCCCAACCCATCCAACTTGCATACTTACAAGTTACAAATCATTGATATAAAGATGACAAAAAAAAATCCATCTAATGAGGGCAGAAGGTCTCAACAGCCATGGGCCGGATCAATTACTTTTAGCTCCTTTCCATCGAGGTCATTCTCATTTAAAGTTTCGCTATGAAGAAGATTATACTAGAATACGCAACAATGGTCCTTGGATTTTAAACGGTCAATGGATTCTCATGTAGCCTTGGGCCCTAGGCAGATCCCAGTATTCTTGGAATCTTCAACAAATTGAATTATGGATTCAACTTCATGATCTACCCTTTGAAACCCTGTTTGTTGATGTTGGAAGACCTTTGTTCGAACGTCTAGGCCCTACTAGGTTCATTTCTGTAGTTCAAAATTATATCCGAGCTAAAGTAATTATTTCGGTTGATAGACCTCTGAAAACTGGTTGTTCTGTTAGTATTCACCAATGGTTTACTTATCGTTATAAAGGTCTACCCTGGGTTTGTTATATTTGTGGGAAAGTAGGTCATCTTTTTCGTCGTTGCTCTCAACCAATGCCCCCCATATCATTGATTTCTCTTATGATCGATTCTTTAACCAGCGAACTATGAATCATCCAAGACCGTGGTTGAGAGCTGAACAAACTCCGATGCACTTGGAAAAGACCTCAGTTCAGTGACTTTGTTAACCTTCCGCCTACTTCGCCTTCCCCTACAACTAATCTTAATGGTGAAACAAGTCCTGAGCAACCTTCTGATTTCGTGTCTTTCATACCTCATCTTGTTTCTTTAGATAATCAACCTCCAAATCCTTTAGTTGTGGTGTCTTCGTCAAATCCCCCCATGTCTGAATCTTTGCTAAAACATTTCACCTGACAGAAAATACATGGTCTTTACTTAATTGCCTTTTAGATGACCAGGCAGGCCCATCTTCTGGGTTCAGAGGGAAAATACCTCATGTGGACCTTTTGTCAAGTCTTCAAATCGAGTCTAAATCCAACCTTATCCCTATTTTTGATTGACCCAAGGTGTCAAAGCCATCCTCCTTAACTGAACGTCTTATTATAGTGGATAATGCAATGTATCATGGCTCAGAATCTGATCCTGATCACCATCTCGATAAGGGTATCTTTTTTCTTGTTCATTTGTTTTGATTCTCTATGGGCGGAGGTGGCTGGCCCTAATCAGCCCCACCCGTATCCATGTTAATTCTGAGTTGGAACTGCCGAGGGGCTTCGCGTCCCAAGGCAGTTCATGGTTTGAGGGATTTTGTCTTTCATTTTAACCCTAACGTTATTTTTCTTTGTGAGACAAAAATTCCTGAAGTTTAATTAGATACTTTAATAAATTCTCTTAGGTACCCTAACTTTTTCATAATCAATCCTGAAGGCCAAGCAGGGGGTTAGCAGTTTTATGGAAAGTGGGTTTAGGAGCTTCGATTTTTTGGTTGCACTCTAGGTATGTTTTTCTAAAAATGCAATCAAATTTCGATTATTGGCTTTTAGGTTTTATTTATGGCCCATCAATCAAATTCCGATTAGGTATGTTTTTCTAAACACCATAGGAATACCTTTTGGGCAAATTTAAATGCTTCCCTACAAACAATTGATCTCCCTTTTGTTTTAATAGGCAATTTTAATGAAGCTGCTTCTCTAGACTCTCTAGATCATTCATTTTCATCTTCTAACATAACTCATTTAACATCAACTCAATATGGAAATTTAATTATAAATCATAATCTTCTAGAATTAAATCTTCAAGGCGGTGGAATTTCTTGATCAAACAAAAGAACAATGGATCATATTCATAGGACTTTAGATAGAGCAATTTTGTCCCCAGACTGGTTACATTTATTTCCAAATGCTTCTTTATCTATGGGTTCAAAATGGGGTTCTAACCATCACCCTTCGTTTGTAAATCTCCACCCACAGACTCAAAACTTACCTAAACCTTTTAGATTCTTTGAGATGTGGTTAGTGGAGTCCTCTTGCAAACAGGTTATGGAGGAAGGCTAGAACTATCAAATCAATGGTCATGCGGT